TTTGCACTGTGCAATTTAATATGTTGTTTATATTGAGATCTTTTACATTAAATTTATTTTGACATGTATTTGCTCAACTTGGTTTTTAGTTTAGCTTTTTTTTTTTCAGCGGCTTCTGTATCATGCCTCGCAGAGGCCGTGGAAGACTCGCTTATAGGACTCGCCGCGGGAACAACACCCCTAATCCTATTTCTCCTGTTCCCACTGAATATATTATTGGGGGCCTCGATATAGTCTGCCCTTACTGCTCAGCCCTTCATTTCCCTGGCGAAACTGTTGGTAGCTCCTGCTGCCACAAAGGGAAAGTTATTCTTCCTACTTTGTCCTCCTTTCCATATGAAATGATGGAATTGATGACTTCAAACAGTGTGGAGGCTATGTACTTCCAGACCAACATTCGGAGCTACAACAGCTCTTTGGCATTTGCCTCCATGGGTGCGCAGGTTGATGTCTTTTCTGGACAGGGGCCTTTTTGTTATAGAATCCATGGACAGATCTATCATTTGACTGGGCCCCTTCATCCTCATGGAAACAGAGCCCCGTCTTATGCCAACTTTATATTTTGGATTCTGAGGCTGCGAATAATACACGCATTGCAGCATCTAGGCCTTTGGAATGCCATCCTGGTATTTGACTCTTTTGGATTCTGTGCTTAGGCGTGTAATCCGTATACTTCTGCTTATAGGCGATGCACCAGGTGGAACTAGCTGAGGAACACCGGGCTCGCATTGAGAACCGGCAAATGTGTCAGGTTCAGATGCTCATCCGGCAAAATCATTGTAGAGATCTTCGCCGATATAATGCCCCAAGTGTAAGTGAAGTTGCGGCCATTTTTGTTGATCAAGATGGCCATGTACCTTCTAACAGAGATATTGCTGTTTTTCCGCATGATTGTGGTTTAGCGCGTATTTCTCCCTTAATCCTAACTGTGACCCAATGACATACCCTCTTTTATTTCCTGCCGGTGATCCTGGTTGGGCGATAGGAATCTTACATGAAGAAAACATGCGCACAAGCACTAGAAACCATGTTACCATGCTTCAGTTCTATAGTTATAGGTTGGCCATCAGACCTGGCTTTTCGCCCATTCACTATGGCAGGAGACTATTTCAGCAATATGTTGTTGATGCCTATGTTAAAACAGAGGGCAATCGCCTGAACTATATTCGCCAAAATCAGTCCCTGCTTAGGGTGGAGTTATATCAAGGTCTGATGGATTATATCCATGAGCAGGAACATTCTCGGGGTGTGCGAATAGGCCGTATTTTTATTCTTCCATCTTCCTTTCCTGGGAGTTCCCGGGCCATGCAACAAAACTATCAGGATGCTATGCCATTGTTAAAGTTTGGAAGACCTGACCTATTCGTGACATTTACCTGTAACCCACGTTGGACTGACATTTGAAAATCTTCTTCCTAACCAGAATCCTTCTGATAGACCGGATCTGGTGGCTAGAGTTTTCAATCTCAAGTTACAACAATTACTGCACGAGATTGTTAGTCAGCATGTATTGGGAGTGGTCATTGCTCGGGTGCATGTTGTTGAGTTCCAAAACGCGGTTTACCGCATGCCCACATGCTGTTTAAGCTTAGAGAAGAAGACAAGCCTAGAGACAGGGATGCCATTGACAGATTGGTTTGTGCAGAAATTCCTAGCCCTACTATGCAGGTTCAGCTGTATGACATGGTTCGTAAACATATGATCCATGGTCCTTGTGGAAACTTCAATCTTCACTCACCATGCATGTCTGATGGCAAGTGTACTAAAGACTTCCCTAAATCATTCCTGCAGCTGACTGAGGCTAACAATAATGGCTATCCTCGCTACAGACGTCGAGATGACGGCCAGACATTAGTTGTGGGCATCACGAGGTGGATAACCGCTGGGTTGTTCCCTATAACCCCTATCTGCTGGTTAGGTTCAATGCTCACATTAATGTGGAGGTCTGTGCCTCTGTGAAAAGTGTCAAATATCTTTTCAAGTATGTATATAAGGGACACGACAGGGCTGAGGTGGAAGTGTCTGTTGGAGAATTAGATATGGAAAGCAGGGCACATGATGAAATCAAAAACTTTCTTGACGCTCGGTATGTAAGTGCTCCTGAGGCAATGTGGCGAATGTTTGAATATCGCTTGCATGCTCATTCGCATACCATATGTCGCTTAGCTGTTCATCTACCTAATTTTCAATCTGTCTATTTTGTTGAAGGTAGTGAAGAACAGGCTCTTGAAAATGCCTCACGCAGACGCACAACTCTGACTGCCTGGTTTCAGCTCAATTGTGTTAATGTATCCGCAAGATCACTTTTATATGGAGACATACCTTCCGCTTATGTTTTCAGGCAGAATCAATGGAGTGCTAGTGTTGGGGTGGGGCTTTGTGCATTGGACGTATGTGTTCAGTGAATCCTAAAGATTCTGAGCGTTACCACCTCCGGCTTCTACTATTACATGTTGCAGGTGCTCAGAGTTTTGAAGATTTGCGAACTGTGGATGATATTGTTTGCTCCACTTTTAAAGAGGCTGCCCAGCGCCGTGGATTATTGGCTGATGATTCTGAATGGGATGCATGCTTAGCTGAGGCGGCTTTGTTCCAAATGCCTTGTCAACTGCGGCAGCTCTTTGCGACAATTCTCATCTACAATAATCCTACCGACCCTGTATCACTGTGGACCAAATAAAGGGTATCTTAGTGAGGACTTTTCTCGTGCAACATCTGACGCAGCTGCTGAACAGATGACTCTCAGAGAGCTTGAATTCCAGCTGAGAGAAAATGCCTCAGTTGCCACCATTATGGACTTCCTGCACCCCTAACCCCACTTCTTGATTCAGGAGAGGATCACCTTGATGTTAATGCAGAGCTGCAAATTGGGACAGAAATGTATAGGTCCCTTACACCAGATCAAAAGTCAATTGTTGACACAATTGTTGATTCCCTCAATGTAAATCCACGTTGCTTTTTTATTGATGGGCCTGGTGGTACGGGCAAGACTTATGTTTATAACACCCTAATTCATTGTGTTAGAGCCGTTGGAAAAATTGTCATTCCGCTGGCCTCCACTGGAATAGCGGCTACCCTTTTGTCAGGTGGCCAGACTGTCCATTCCAGGTTTAAGCTGCCGATTCCCTTGCTTGAGAATTCTGTAGCTGCGATCTCGGCCAATAGTTCTGAGGCTGAGCTTATTCGTAGATCATCCTTAATTATTTGGGATGAGGCTCCTATGGCCCACTACAGAGCACTTGAAATTGTGGATCGTCTCCTAAAGGACATTATGCATTGTGACCTTGCTTTTGGCGGAAAGGTTGTTGTTCTTGGAGGTGACTTTCGCCAAGTGCTACCTGTGGTACCTCGAGCTTCAAGAGCTGAAATTGTTGCTGCTTGCATTAAGCAAAGCAAGCTATGGCCATTGTTTGTGATCTTGCGCCTTACTCAGAATATGCGAGCAGGTATTGATGCACAGAGCTTCTCTCAATGGTTACTTAAAGTTGGTGATGGTGATCTACCTACAGACCAACAGGGCCTCATTTCTCTTCCAGAAAGCTGTATCTTTCATGGGGTTGACCTGGTGCAGGAAATATTTGGTTCTTCCTATGGTGATATTACCGCCTTAGCCAGTCTGTGATTTTAACGCCAAAAAACACAGATTCATTAGAGATTAATGAAAAAGTTTTGGATCGCTTACCAAACAGGAGTCAGTGTTTTCTCAGTGTTGACAGTGTCGAGTGTGAGAATGTGGAGGAACAAAATAACTACCCTACTGAATTCCTTAATAGCCTTACTCCCACAGGAATGCCTCCACACCGGTTAAACCTTAAGATTGGTGCTATTGTTATGCTCCTTAGAAATTTGAATCCTAAGCAGGGTCTCTGCAATGGCACACGTATGGTTATCCAGCGCATGCGCTCTCATGTCCTAGAAGCACAAATACTGACAGGGACCAAGTTGGACAAACTGTATTGGTGCCAAAAATATCTTTGGCTCCTTCAGATACCAACCTTCCCTTCATTCTGAAGAGGCGTCAGTTTCCACTAAGGTTGGCTTTTGCCATGACTATTAATAAGGCTCAAGGCCAAACCTTTGCTAGAGTGGGTCTCTTGCTACATGAGCCCGTGTTTACTCATGGACAGCTCTATGTGGCTTTTTCACGTGTGCGAACTTTGAATAGCATACGGGTAAAGTTGAACCCACGTATTTATAAAACTAGAATATAGTTTTTAATGAGGTCCTTTAAATGAATTTTTCCTTTTTATGTTGTCTTTCTGCTATATAGTTGTGTTGTATTCAATTTTATTTTCAGATTTGTTTTCTTTTAATTTTTTTTTCATTTCAAATAAATGAATCTATGCCTTTTATGTTGTCTAATTTGGTTTATTGTTGTGTTGTATTAATTTTCTTTTAAGATTTGTTTTCTTTTACTTTTTGTTTCATTTCCAAAAAATTTGTTTAAAGTTTCACCAATGCCTATAACAAAAGGTACTAAGACCAAATCCAAATAAATAAATAGTGTGTGACGTTTCGGTAACAGCGTTGTTACCATCTTCAGACAAAAGTACTATGGCCTACGGCCATACCACGTTGAAACACCGGTTCTCGTCCGATCACCGAAGTTAAGCAACGTCGGGCTCGGTCAGTACTTGGGAGGGTGACCACCTGGGAACACCGGGTGCTGTAGGCTCCTTTTTTCCATTCAGTACTTTTGTCTGAAGATGGTAACAACGCTGTTACCGAACGTCACACACTATTTATTTATTTGGATATTTATTTCAAATAAATGAATGTATGCCTTTTATGTTGTCTAATTTGGTATATTGTTGTGTTGTATTTAATTTTCTTTTAAGATTTGTTTTCTTTTACTTTTTGTTTCATTTCCAAAAAAATTGTTTAAAGTTTCACCAATGCCTATAAACAAAAGGTAATAAGACCAAATCCAAATAAATAAATAGTGTGTGACGTTTCGGTAACAGCGTTGTTACCATCTTCAGACAAAAGTACTATGGCCTACGGCCATACCACGTTGATGAAAACACCGGTTCTCGTCCGATCACCGAAGTTAAGCAACGTCGGGCTCGGTCAGTACTTGGGAGGGTGACCACCTGGGAACACCGGGTGCTGTAGGCTCCTTTTTTCCATTCAGTACTTTTGTCTGAAGATGGTAACAACGCTGTTACCGAAACGTCACACACTATTTATATATTTGGATTTGGTCTTATTACCTTTTGTTTATAATCTACAATCCAAATTGTGCCTCATCAACCAATGCCTATAGTTTCTCACACCTCCCATGCTTACCCCTCTGTAACTGGCCTGTGGTGCAGTGGACATTGTTGGAGGTACAGTAAACTCTCTACACGATTGTATCAAGTCTTGTTCTGGTAGACTTGATGCTGTAACCAGGAGGGACACTCCCTCTTAAAAATCTGAGTTCAACTGACCCAGTTGATGGACCTCAGCAATGGTTCCACTCCAGGGATACGGAGGAGCTGCGTCTGTGCT